GTGCTAAGATAGATTTAAAATGGCAAGATACTTACTATCTTTTTCTCCAACTTCTTTCTCCGTTTCTTCCTCTGCCACTGTGCTTCTTCAGAGAATTCTGATGGCAGAGGGAAAAATATTCTGTTACTGCAAACTTTAATGAAGTGTGTGAGAGCCTTTCATTCACAAATTTAAGCTGCACTCCCTTAGAACCCAGATGAACTGTGCCATACCTTTCAGTTGAGATAGGGGATGTGTGTGAAATGCATCAGAGGAAGGATTCCCTTCCCTTCAGCCCTGGAAGAAAGGCCCATATCAAGTTCTTGATTGATGAAGTGATCAAAAGCCAAGACTGCATTGATGGTGGTGATGGAAGAGCTAGAAGCATCTAAGTTACAGTGGAAGAAACCTCTGGACCCACAGATAATAGGGTCAGAGGGAAGGGTGTATGTGCTAGCAACCTCTCCTGTGTAGAAAAAGCAGATTTCCACTGGAATAAATTCCTGGGTTCAGGCTCAAATTTTGCTACAACAACAAGATGTAAAGAGCTCAAAAAGCAGGCAAAGTGTTCTCCAGCGAGAGACAAGGAGACCCTACAACCTCAAGTTATAGACAACATAATCTTGAAGAATTGCCCAAAAGCCAAGTTAAATAATATTTGAACCAGACAACCCTCACCCATTCTGCACCTTATCTTACCATATAGTCTTACCTAAGTCTCTTGACCAAAAGAGATAATGATCTCAGAAAGCAAATCCATCATTGCAAGGGCCCTGACCCAGATGAGGATGACATTCTCAGAGACAAAACTGGTCAAAGGGGGTCTAGGAAGTAAAGGCAAGAAATGGCAAAAGAAGCGTGCAAGGCAGAAGTGGAATAGTTAACCCATTGGGTAAATCCAGAGAATCAGTTTGGGCCAAAATTGGCTACTGTCAGTCTGGTTCATGTGCACAGTGATGAGTTTGTTGATTCTTTTAAATCTGAATTATCTGGTTATGTTTCTTTAGATGTGCCAGCCAGGGCCAGAGCAGGTATTTCAAGAGCTGCACTACTACAGAATAGTAACGAAAAATAGTGATGGGAGGATTGTCAGGACAAAATGAGTGCAAGCTTTGCCATAATAAGGTAAAACACTGTAAGAACATTAGACTTAAGATGGGATTCCTAATTTGATCAAGAACCCATATTACAGGTCTTGCTTCCTATGTACACCCAGGAAAGTCTAATATCCTTGTCCTGAAAGGTGCTCCTTTGGAGGTACACTCTTTGATATGCTAATTGTTTACCTGTCCTGAAGGTTCTTCTCTTTGTTTTGTGTTCAACCCTATTGTTTTATTCTAATGTGTCTGTAGCATAGTCTTTTCTGTTCCCCTACCTGAACCCCCACCCCTCCTCCGAACTGATAGAGTATTAACACTTACAATTGTGTAGTAGAGAGAATATGTTGAGTGTTATCTTTACTCTAATGATCCTAAAATAGTTTTAGCATTTCTACAGAGATAAGGAAAAGCCATTTTAAGATGTTACACAATTATTTGTCCCTGTTCAAGGGGACTGAAATGAAGAACCTAGGGACACAATCAATGTTGAGAACGTGGCACAGAAGGTATTTTTTGTAAACTGTGGGCATGTATTAAATATTCAATTATATTGAAAAGTAGTAAAATATGTAACTATCAAAAAGAATTACCACTTTCACACTACCAATAATACCATTATATTGTTCCTTTGATTCACTGAAATACAATGCTGAATGAAAACAGGAATTAGTTTCTATTTTTATTACCACAGTAAAAATAAAAGTGGCTTGTAAATGAAGAAATGAAGAAAATCACAAGGGCCAAAGATAAAGGACTGGATGAACAAAATCGGATATATGGGAAAGCATACACATCTAGATTGCTCACTTTTAAGAGAGCAAAGAAAGGATTGTCAATGTAAGGCATTTTCTGGATTGTGCTCATTAATTTTCTGAGCATTTTAAAAAAATAGAACAATCAACATTTTAAACTTGTGAAAAAATTTCCTAACTGATATTCTTTGTATCTCATCTTGTTCAGCCTCTCTTCTCATTCTTGTCTGCTGTTCTGTTTTCCTACAGGGAAACATACAAATCACAGTTCTCAATCACAGAGAAATGCACAAATCACAGTCAAGAAAGTCCATTCTATCTTGGATTCTATCCAAGTGCAAGAGAAGTGTGTGTGGAGTGGAGAAATGCTAAGCTATTATTAGTCTCTCTGATTTTTGGCTAGGGAAAGAGAAGGTTTGCATTTACTCCATTTTCCGAGGCTAATTCCCTTATGCTTGTATGTATGGGAAGCCAGTAAAGACAACTAAACTATTCCTGGGTGAGCTACTTGGGTGAGAGATTTACTCTCTACTACCAGATGTTCTGGATAATGTTATCACCTGTCAACTGCCAGTGCAATTTAAATGTATAAACATTCAATTTAAATTTAAAAATTGGATTTTATTTTATTATTTTCTTAATCATTGCTTTATATCTATCCTGGTTTTGTGTGCCAGTATGGATGTGGGGGTGGGACTTGTTCTTGCTGGCAGTGTGTGTTAAACCCGCAGCAGGAGATCCCAAGCCTTTGGGCTGGGCAGGTGGGCAGGCGCCTCCTTTTCAGGTGCATTGCTTGGCATGATGATCCAGAGCGGAGCGCATGGGGCATCCCAGTGATGGATCCTTGGAATCCTTGCTGAGGGGCTGTTAGAAACACTCTTTCCTTTCCCTCGGAAGAGAAAAATAGTCGGGGCCAGCGGAGAGTTCTTCTTGAAACTTTATTGCAATAAAGGGGGCTGAGAGATTCTCCATATGTGCTGTGAATTGTCATACATCAAATCCCGCGAATAGAGCTTTCATATCACTTGGTGTCATTTCAAATAGAATCTTTTTGTAATCCCTTATTAAAGTGCCTGTACAAATTAATGCCAATATATTTTCTCTGTGAAAGGATGTAACATATTAGAAACTATAAAAAACAATGTAAAATACATTGAAAATATAACATTTCTTTAAATAAATGTGTATAATTTACAGCCTAAGCTCTGAAAGAGATATGTGCTTCATATCTGAAAACAGCAATAACAGCAAAGATTGATTCACACAGGGAAAAAATCTGGAATCCACAGTTGGACAATCCCTGTATTAGAATCAACCAAAATTCCATTTATTTAAGTTATCAGGACAATCCAGTGTAAGAAATTACTTCTATACTTCCTCTCTCAATACAGAAAAAGTAACTCTTTCCAATGAATCTGTATTTCTAATGGGGTGGAGGATTCCCATTATCCTTAAACAAACAAAAAAGGGATAAGTCAATTTCAGGGAGCCAATAAATGAGCTGCTTTTGTTTAACGCTAATTTAAAAGGTGGTATCTCTATCTCTTTTCCTTCCAACACTATACAATTAAAATTCTTTTAGCTATTAATAGGCCAATGATCATCTCAGTCTCTGATTTTGTTCTAAGTTCCTGAGCAGTGTAATAACAGAAGGTAGCTCAGTGAGACTTACTTCCAGGTAAGTGAATAGGATTGCAGAAGAAATTCCTATAGAACTAAAAACTTCTCTCACTTGGCCAAAATGCATATTGGTGTTTTGGCATGCACTACTCCTTTGGAAAACTTTCAGTGAAAAATTTTCAGTGGTGGTACATTGAATTGCTATCAGTACTCATGGCTCAGATGATGCATATGTCACATGCATGAAGATGGGCAGAGGACTGCCATCATCCCCCACAAAACACCCGCAGCCAAATAAAGGAAGGCCAGAAAAGAAAGGGGACTGCTACCTCAAGATGTTCCTGTAACTGAAAGCTGGCAAGGATTCCCCACTCCCCCGGCCACCTGGGCCAAATCCTGCCCAGAAAGTTCCTTGTCCCAGAACCCTGGACTAGTCACTGATTCAGCACACAAGTTTTGGGGGAAACAAACAACTTTTATACAGATGTGGAGGGAGTAAAACGCAGAATCTAAAAAGGATAAAAACAGGAAGGGGGGAAGGGGGGAGGAAAGGGGAAATGGACAGCAGCAACAGCAAGCCTCAGCCAACCAAGAACCCCCTGTTGGCCCACTTGGACAATAAAATAACAAACAGCTTCTTCTATCCTAGGCTATACACAGCCACACTACCTTCAAACAGCACAAGATATGCAGGTGTCACAGTACTCTTGGGCTGGGAATCACAGCAGGACAGAACCTCCCAAGAGAGGAACAAAAGGCTGCTCTGTCCTCTGTCCCTGAGGCCAGCCATTTACTCCAGATGCCAGTCCTTACTCCCAGCTGTTATCACTGGTGTCCTTGAGGCCAATTCTGGTAGTTCTCACCTCCTTAACACAACAGGGGAGAGGAGGTCTCCCCAAGGCCGATTTCCTCTAGGTCAGCAGCTGGTATTTCCAGCATTTTGCCAGTTACTAGATTAGTCCTTCCTTAGCCTTCAAGAGCCTGGAAAGCTGGTTCACGCTACTGTTCCTATGAAGAGATGGTACCACCACCAGCTTTCAGCAGTCACATTTGGAACAGCTGGCACTTGGGGATGTGTATTGCGCTTGCCTGCTTTGGGAGCAGATGCACCCTGCAGTGCTGTCTCCTACTTCTCTCCAGGTTGCTAATCTGACTGCCTTTTTAATTGCCTACTTCTCTCTCTCTACATGCCATGTATATTATGTGGAATTAAATGGTATGGCCACGCCCCCTGACTTTAAAAATGGCACCCATTTGCTACAGATGTCGTAGTCTAAAAGCGTGTCACACACTCTCTCCTCACACCCCAAATGTTCATGCTAGTGTACCAGGATTAGTAGCAATGCATCCATATCTGTTCTCACATGAACCTGCCATTTTGGTATGATCATAATCAGAGCCTTTTTTCTTAGGTGGTTAGCAATGTGGGAAAAAGTCTTTTCTGTAGTGAGTCAGCTTGAAAACAAATATAAATGATAGAGCAGAGCATGCAAAATTAAAAGAAGCAACACAACATCTGTTTAAGTTATGATTTTTTCTTCCTCTGTAGGATTAGAGTAAGCCAGGATGGACAATTTCTACATTATGTCTTCCCATATCAGTTCCTGGATTCCCCAGAGTGGGAATCATTGCGGCCTTCTGAAGAGGGAACATTTCAGGTAATCTTGCAAAACATGGAGGGCATGTCATGAGCAGAGCCGGCTGGAGCCAAGGGTCAGACTAGATGGCCCAGGAGACACCTTCTGACTCGCTCTGTTTCTATGTTTTTATTTACTGGTAATTTTATGTACCTCTGCCCCCCACCCCATCCCCACAACTAGAGACCAAGGATCAAAGAATTGCTCAAGCAGTTTTGCTTGCAATGGGGTTCTGTCTTGGTGTGCCAGACCAATCACACACAACAAGGGAGTAAAAGTGAAAAAAATACTTATTTTGCAAAATAAAGGTCCTGCACCTCATGGTCACAGAGAGCCCCATTCAAACTTTTCACATCATTTTTATACTTTCCCACACAAAGGATGTCAGAAGCTCTGCTTTGGTTGGCTACATAGCAAGCTACTTTTGAAAGTAAGAAGACCTTCATGGTCATAATAATAACAGGGAGGTTCTCTGTTCTAAGAAAAAGCGATGAAAATTGGACAGGCCTAAAGGAACTAGAAATGGGCAAGCCAAGGCTTAGAATTCAATGCTGAGGTGCCCTGGGCTTTGGCTTCCATTCCATAGTCTTATTTGTGAGATTTAAAATGACAGGTATTTCAGGGGAACACTAGAAATAACAACAGCCGTATGGTAATTATTTACGGATTTGTGATTTGTTTCAAATTAAAGTAACAGTAATTTTATCATTAGAACCACCCATTGGAATATGGAGCTTTAATTCAGTTTTGCCCTGTTCAAATCCCAGTAAAATACTGTCCCTCTGATGACCCAAATACAATATCTATATAAATATTTTGAGTGACAGATGTCATACCATATCTGAAACCTTTCAAAAAGGAGGTGACACCACAGGAGTGTGTTCAATGGGGAAAAGTCTGTGCTGAGAGATGGAGTGTTCACTGTACTCAACTGTAATGTGATGTTTGCAGGAAGCTTTAAAAGAGAACACAGGATGATAGATGGTAGAAAATGGTAAATATTAATCCTGTATGTCCAGCAGCTGTCTCTGAGATGAATACCTTCATGAAATAGGTCTTAGCTAGTTTTTTGATGCATTTCTTCTTCAAACTGATAGGACCAGCTTTTGTATATTGCTTTATACTTTCTATACTGCTTTGTAGCTGGTTTCACATATGCTTTAGCTTCAGTCTCAGCTAGACATGTTTGTTATGACAGAAACACATGTTCTTTCCTTCCCTGCAACCAAAAACAGCCATGGAAAGTTTTCAAAGATGGAAAGGCTGCTTAGTCCTTTGTCCTTTAGCTATTTTTAAATACAAATATAGAGGGGAAAGCACCTGAATTTTTCTTATGTGGATAGAAGCACCTCTTTGTTTCAAGAGGATTGGTTTAAGCAACATTGGAGAAAAGAGACTCTTGTGATAGCATGCCACTTGCCCGATTTGGCCTTCATAATGTGAACTGGCAGAAATTTTCAAGAAGAATATTATTCAAGTTTGATGTGCTATCAAGGAAACACACCCTGTGTTACCAGGAGTACTAAATAAAAATGTCAAATAGTTGCATTAACTCCATGTTCAGAGCCTAGTATTTTGGCTCCAAAAAATCTGTTTTGTCTAAAAATTGACCACTAACTAGTGATAAGTACTGTCTATATTTGGTTGCTATCTCTAATAATTCTTTTTTTTTCTTGCTTGCTTCTCTAAAACTCCATGGAAATTTGCAAAGGGTTATTTACATTTTGACTGCTTTCTTTTCTTCAGCTAGGTTCCATAGTTTCTATTGTTCTCATTTCCGTATTGGCCACTTCTCCTTTCTCAGGCCTTCACACGTCTCTCACATGCTGCTTTATCTTTTCCAATTATCCTCCTTCACCTCCTTTGTAGATATGACCAAATAATCTGAGATCCTGTCTAAATGCAGCTTATATGTCTATTCTTTCTATTTTGTAATAAATTAAATATTCAGTAACTATAAAATATTCAGTAACTATAAACTGGCTCATTGCCTCATTTCTAATTGCCTTTCTTCAAAATTCCAGTTCTTTGTCCTGGTGCAATATAGTGATGACATGTATCACTTGAGTAACAGGTAAATTTGTGTATTGTAGAGACGCAGACCTGAGAAAGAATTTCTTTTTCTTATTACATTTAACTGTATGGAAAACAACAACAATTAGCTTTTATTTGATTGTAACAAGTTTACTTGAACTTACCATAATTTTTTTAAGCTCACTGACTGGAACATGAAGGCTGTAAATGGGATTTCTGTTCTTTGGAATCTGCCAAGCCTGCTTCTATGAAATTTCGTATTATGGCCCCACTGTGTACTACAACCAAAGCAGCTCCTGGCAATGCTGCAGATTAAATATCAGATTCAAGGACACAGCATATCACTCGTCCGTGTTCTGTTTCTCAAAGCATCATTCCTTGGTCCTTGGCCAAGGAGACCCCTGGATGCAGGAAAGCTCCCAGAATATGTTGGATCAACTCTTGCCATCATCTCCATGCCATTGTCTCATTTACCCACTCCAAAGACTGAAATGTGGTATATTCTCACATAGTCAAGCTGCATACAACTAGGAAAACAAAATCGTTTTCTCTCTCATCAGACTTTTAAAAATTCCAGACTATCTGCAGAAACAGAGGGAGCTCCGCTGTGAATGATTTCAGATAATATTCTTATCTTTGCCTGACCCCCTTCAGGGGTAAAATCTATGGCCATGCTATTTCCTTTGTATTGGAAGACATTGGTATATCATAGTGCTTTTGATATTTGTTCTATTTACAGTAGAGCATAATGGAAGTAGAAGCAAGCAGGGCAGCTGCTAAACATATGTTGGGTGTTCAGTGAGCCGGTTTTTCAGTCCCCAAGACTGTAGTCCAGCTTTAGCTAAATGCCTTTTAAAGCTCTGCTCTCTGCCAGCCTCTCTTAGGGCCAATATGTGAAATACTCCTATGATTAGCAACTAATGAGAGAGAGAGAGAGAGAGAGAGAGAGAGAGAGAGAGAGAGAGAGAGAGAGAGAGAGAGAGAGAGAGAGACCCATGAAATGAGAGAGCCTTTGCAGTGTAGTGGCTGGAGTGGCTAGTGGGTTGAACTGGGGACCCCAGAGGTATGGGTTCTAATTTCTGCTTGACCCTGAAACTCCCTGGGTGATTTTGGGTCAGTCACTCATTCTCAGCCTAACAACCTCACAGGGTTGTTGTGAGAATAAATTAGAGTGCAGGACTAAGTAAGTTCCCCTGGGTTCCGCACTAGAGGGAGTATAGATGCGCGCGCGCGCGCGCGCGCGCGCTCTCTCTCTCTCTCTCTCTCTCTCTCTCTCTCTCTATATATATATATATATATATATATGAGAGAATGAGAGAGTTCAATCCAGACTGGGATCCTGACTCCTGAGTCTATTTTCTCTCTCCTTTCAAGCAGATCAGGCCAAAGGCTTTCTAGCTAGAAGTCTCTGTTACATTAAAGTACAAATGAAGACTATCACAAAAGTCAGTAACAAAAGAGCAAGCAAAGATAGAATACTGGCCACCTCTACCATGGCTTGTTGTTATGCGTGAATGCAGCCAATGTCTGACAGTGTATGCATATATGAAGTTTCAAAAGTTGTTTGAAACCACACCTTCACTGAATGAAGCAAAGCAGCTTTTCATTGTGACCTTTTGCTGCTCTAGTGTGATTTACAAATCTTTATATTGCCTTTTCAAATAGTACAAATAATTGTTAAGTCATCAGGTATTAACCTCTCCCTAAGCAGCCATTTTAAAGGAATTTTCCTCTGTGATCTGATGCAGGGTCTGGTGATCTGAATCAAACAGATAAGATCAACAACCTTTTTCAGGCAGGATTGGCAACCATGATGTAGGCTTGCATTATTAATGTTACAGTCTCAATTGGATGTGACTCTTCCAAGACTAAAGAAAATCTGTCGTGTAAGTTCATTTGGAACAGATGTTTATGCTGATCTTCTCTAAAAGCCGAACAAATTAAGAAATGCATGCTTATATCAGCCTCTCCAACTTGGCGCTCTCCAGATATGTTGGACTGAAACTCCCAGCATCCCCCAGCCAGCCATGAAGTTGTGGTCTGACACATTTGGAGAGCACCAGGTTGAGGAAGTCTGGCTCATATAATGTGTTCTCCCCTAAATCTTTTTCAGGCACATGTATTGCAAAGGTCCTTTCTCAAAAATATTGTATTCTTGCACAAACAGTAAATGAAGATTTTAAAATGGCATGATTGTCTCTCATGAATTTGGAATCTTCATACAGTTTTCTACGAAGAATGGTGGCACAGTGGTACTTCAGGCAGCATGGTGGTTTTGTTATGTTAAGGCACAAATGTCTGAGCTGGTCACCACTCTCTGCTTTTTCTCTTGGCAGGTAACACTGACAGCAGAGACTGACTGCAGCTTCATTACTTGGCAAAGGAAGAAGCTCTACTCACTTCTGGCAAAGGAACGCTACATTGCCCGCCTCTTTTCAGTCCTCCTTGGCTATGACATCTCAGAGAAGCTGTATGCCCTGAATGAAAAGCTCTTTGCTAAGTTTGGCTTGCGATTTGACATCCGTTTGCCCAGTCTCTATCATGTCTTAGGATCCACCTCTTCAGATACAGAGGTCGAGAAAGAACCAGGGGAAAATAAAGAGCTACCAGCACCTCCATGCAAGTCACCCACATTTGTCCAGACAGCTCCAGTGGCCCCTTGCACTGTGGTTCCTCCTGCCCATCCCAGGATGCCTCGGCCTGACAGTGACCTGTCTGGTGAGGACTCTACCAGTCTTGTATTGGAAGATTTTGCTGAGTTGACAGGGTCTTTTATGGACTATGTGAGCGAAGGGGAATATATGAAGTGAGGGCACCTCTAACATGGGCACACATCACCCTGTGTAAGTAAGTACTTGTTGCTCCTTTCGAAGGAAACCCAACTGTGTGTGCTGGGAGGTAGTGGCTAATGTATCCAGCATGCTGCTTTTCTTTAAAGGGTGTGAGGGCTGCAGCATCAACCGTAGTCACTTGCTTCAAAAGGCTGCCTTGAGTTCATGGTGTAAGTAGTGCAAATCCGGGTCGTTTCAAGTGTGAGGTCAGGCTTGCCAGGACATTATGCCTCCTAAAACTAGATAGTTGTGATAATTCAGTAAGGGAAGGAAGTTCAGAGCCTCATGCTGAGTTGGAAAGTTCTGCTCTGTCAAATGGGTTGAGGATATATTGGTTGCAGCAAGATATCGTAGGCTACAGGGGAGATTACCAGGATCATACAAATCCTGTCAGCTGGCAATACCAGACAACTTACAAGTAACAGAGACAGCTTGTGTTCTGTATTTCTCCATTTCCATACAAAATATGGATAATGAAGTCTGAGATGAAAACCAAGGGTTTCCTAGATCAGAACAAACCAGAACTTTCCCTGAAAGTAGAAATGACAATTCTGAGGCTGTCATACTTTAGCTACATTCTGAGAAGGGGAGACTCACTACAGAAGACAGTCATACTAGGGAAAGTCAAAGGAAGAAGAAGAGGAAGAGGAAGAACATGGATGAGATGGATTGACTCCATCAACAACTCCATGTCTTGAGTTGTGCAGGATTGCCAGATTTCTAGCAGTCCAGAGTCATAGAAGGTCCTGGTGATCAATTGCCAATTCTTGAAAAATGATAGCGATAGTGGTACTAATATAGAATGAGGACAAAGCTAAGTGGCAAACAGTCAGAGAGAAGGGGCAGAATTCCTATTGCCTTGATCACAACAAAGCATCTTGTAGAGATCCCTGCCTTGGATATTACTGATTTTAATACCTTTAGTCCAGGTTGCATTTATACCATAGTGCTCAAGTGGATAGTAGCAATCCAGTTCTCAGCTCTGACTAATGAAGTTCATTTCAGTCTGATTTGCAACTTGGTTCTGGAACTTGTCAGGAGCCTTGGCTGCTCTTGGGGATATGCTGGGAAACAGAGTAGGTGCTCGTTAGTTCTAGATCTCTCAGTGCTTTTTGAGACCATCAATTAGGGTGTCCCCCTGGATTGCCCTGCTGAGATAGGATTGGAGATCTCTGTTTTATATGGTCCTGATCCTTCCTGAATGGATAAATCCTTGTGAGCCTGGTGCTCTTCCACAACAGGGAGCTGCACGGGCTCAACTTGTTGTCCATGGCACTGAAGAGCTGCTGGTGAGGATTTCTGGAGGTCTGGGGTGTTGTAACAGATGAATGACATCCAGGCTTTATTGCTTCTCTCCATTGAACTTTAGAGAGGCTGTGGAAGAGTTAAAATACTAGAATTAGTGATGGGGTAGACAGGGTCAAATACTTACTTTAGACCAGGGAGAGAGTCACTGTTGCTTAATTAAGGAAAACTAATTACCCTTGATTTCCCCTAGTGTAGAAAGGAGTGGGCTGGGATGGGGAACTCTTAATTAGAGTTCTTGCTGCTGGAAATAAACAAACAAATGCAGCCCTGGGGCTTTCACAAGAAATAACCTGTATAACTTTTTTTTTTCTCTTTGGATGTGACAAAGGGCACAGGAAGAGTGAAGTGAGCCTGAGTGTGAAGCAAAGGAGCTCTCTTACTCTGGTTAAATACAAATTTGCAGAAAGGAACTTAGATAATTTTCTCCCTCCACATGGAAGCAATGGAGGTCTCGTGTGTGTAGCCCTTGTGGCTGGGAATGTAGTTGGTAACATAGGAGTCTGTCAGGGAGTAAAATGAGCAGAGCTTGTCGGTGTCACAGACTAAGTGACCAATGCGACTGCTCCTGGTTGAAGTCCAAGGGAATGGTGAAGTCAGAGAAGCCCTGCTCATTGCTGATGGTGATCATCTGCATGACATGCATGAGTTGGGGCTTGGTCCTGAGGAAAACCTAATGAGGGGGCTGGAAGAAGGCCCTGGTGTCCGAGAGTGTGATGTACTCTTGGATGCACTCCAACTTCAGCTTCTTGGCCAAGATGGGGCAGGTCATTCCACATCATCTCAGGCTACAATGGGATGAGCCCACCAAAGGGATTGTTGGTGTGTCTGACAACATCAAGGAGCATGTGATCACCTGGCATGGAGTTCCTGGCATCCAGGGCAGCATGACGCATATGCATGAATATCCCCCACCCTGTGCTCCCCAGATGTCCTCCTTGAGAAGATGCATTATGGCCTTGCAATACGAATTTCCCATTGGTATCCTGCATGGGAAAGCTGCAGGGTTGAAATCTCCAAGCTGTATGCACATGCGGAAGCCTAAGTTGGCAGACATGGTCCTCTCACTTTCGGTACAGCTTCCCACATCTGATGCCTGTTGGTGTCAGTGCTGTTGACACTTGGCCTTATGGGGGAGCAGTGGCATGTCTGAAGCAGCCACTCCCATGCCTTGGCCTCCTGGTACTAAGGCTGGTCTGACATGCATCACTTTGCTTCACAGAAATTGCCCAACGTGACACCTGCTGGCCATACAGCAGCTACCCTCTCAACCCAGGTAGTCGGCAGGCTGTATGAGCTTGCTGTCTTTGTGCTGGAGGAAGAAGTAAGTGACAGCATTGCTACTGCTGCAAGGCAGGATGGAGTGGCCCCATAGCATAAGCACAAGGAAGGGCTGGCTGACCTCAGGCCTTCAGGGCTGGGCTGAGCAACCAAGCCTAGATGCTCAGTGAGGATCAGCAGCTCCCACAGTGTAGAAGGCAGGAAGCCTCAGTGCATGGAGCTCAGAATGCAGGGAAACCTGGGCTGCTCCTTGTCCAGGATGCGCTCTCCTCCCAGTGGGTTGGTGTTGATGCACACACCCAGGTTGCTGGTGTGTGGGATTTTGACCTGGGTGCCACGCAACCCAATGCCTGAAGAATTAGGTGAGGGTTACATTTTCCTCTAAAATGACTTACAGCTTGGTGAAGTTCTTGGATCTGACCACACTCTTAGATGCCGATACAGTAGCAGTGATCAGCAAAGGCCTGTACGACTGGTGCTCTGTTTCCCGCATAAACAGACATGGCCTTTATGACATCCAGATTATACTACCATAACTTCTGGGGTTATTCATGCAACACAACATTCACCCAGCAATAAGGCTTGATGCATTGGTTGTTTTGTGTAGCACTCATGACAAGCCTGGTGAAGAGTCAGACTCACTGTGGTACTTGGCTCCCTCCCTCTTATTCCCCCAGGTGGTATCTCAGGGGAAGCTTTTTGGAGTTTAGAGTTTAAAGGGAAATGGAGCTGAACATGAAACCCCATTTCCCTTAAAAAGGGGTGTGAGGTGTATTGTTGCACTTTTCTAAGCTCCCAGAACAAAAGGCAAATGTTTTTCTCCCTTGGATGAACAAAAGGGAAGAAAGTAGAATGAGAAGACTCTTGCCAGCAGAGGGGTAGTGTTAGCATAATACAGCCCCTTGGCAAAAGATCCCTCATGCCTTTGTTTTCAATGGGTACCTCACCTTCTACTGAAGACAAGTAGGGGAAAGGATTTCCTGTCTCAGGGGCTCCCTCTTGTGAAGGGGCAGTAGGCAGGCAGCCCCTCTGGGCATTACCATCCTCTGTGTTCCCGCATTGTCATAGAATCATAGAACAGTAGAGTTGGAAGGGGCCATGAAGGCCATTGTGTCCAACCCCCTGCTATTGCAGGACACCAACTTATACCACCCCACTCAGATGGCTGTCCAATTTCTTTCTGGATGTCTCTAGTGTGGGAGAGCCCCCCACCTCTCTAGGCAGCTGGTTCCACTGTCATATTGCTCTGATGGTGAGGAAGCTTTTCCTGATGTCCAGCCTGAATCTGGGTTGTCGCAGCTTGAATTGATTATTCTGTGTCCTACACTCTGGTATCAGCAGGAAGAGCAAGAGTCCTTCATAAGGGAGCAATTGGGCTCTTTTGCCCAACCTTTCATTGGCTCAGGGAAGGGTCAGACTGCTTCCCTCCACTTTTTAAAGGGTAATGGAATTTGACAGCTTCGTTTCCCATTTTAAAAAGTTGGCTCTCACCCACGGTGAGTCATGCTGTCCAACTCTGGATGAGCCAACAAGCCACCATGGGTGACAACAAGCTACAAGTAGGAACTGCAGAGTAGCTTGTTGGGGGGGAAAAACAAGGTGTCCTTAATGAAGTGGTCCATAGTCACATGACAGAAGAACTTGCCAACAACAACAAACCTTGGTGGTTTGCTCTGTTGTCCAAGCCCAGTCACCCTCTATGTGGCTGCCTTTGAAGGGCATCCCAGAACTCTTCCAGAACATGTCTGAGTTCAATGAACTGGTTTTGAGGCTGAAGCCCTAAATAGTCTAAGGCCGTGAGACAGATGAGGGACAACCTTCTTCCATGTAAAGCTACAGAAGCCCTGCTCTGCTCTCTATATTATTGAAAGTGCAGTGGACATAGCCTCTTCAGTCATGGCACCAACACCATGGAATTCCTTTCTCCTCAAGGCTTGCTTTGAGATGGCAGATAAAACCATTCTTTTTCCCAGATGTTGCATACAGGGTTTTGCAGTGTTGCATATTGGGTTTTGTAGGTTATTAATTGCATTTTATTTATGCTAATTCTAATTGTTTTTCAAAATTATGTTGTAAGCCTACTTGTAGACTGGTGGGTCAAAAAGCAGGGTATACATATTTTACAATATATATTATATGGGATATATGCAAAACAGTATTATGTTGTGTTAGCTTTTATTGCACAGCCTCCTTTGCCAAACTCTCCATGCCCAAAGAATTTCAGGAGTGAAAAGAAAAGGACATATTCCTAAACCTTACTTCTTCAGGAAATCCAGATTTCTTTCTCAATTTACAGATAGAATATGTGTGCCTTTGCAAATAGGGCTATAGAAGAGGCAATGAAGCTTAATCAACAGTCCCATTTTAGGAACCATTTTACAGTTTTAAAGTCACTAGCTAGCATTTTAAACTCTGTTTGCCCCAGATCCAGTGACTTCTGCAAGGTGTCAAGAACACTGAGAATATTACATTATGCTTATGTGTTAAGTACATGGATGGTTTGCTAAGTGAAGTCCTGACCTGAGCATTTCCTTCTGATTATCTGCAAAGGAAAGGATAAGGACTTTGCAAACCAGAAAGAGGAAAACAATAACTTGGTGTGTGGGTCCCACCAGAACAGAGGGTTCTAGAACTGGGCATGCAAGTATGAACTAATTGCTACAATAAGTATAACAATATGTTTTTCTTTCCTCCAGTTTCTGAACACCCCTTGAGAACTAATCGCCAGGCTCTTGCAAAAGGACGAGCTCCTCTGGCTCCTACTCAGACTCCAGAACTTTAGAGTAAACAACAATGCAAACCTGCCCACAGACCAACTCCTGATCTGAATGCGGCTCATCGCTTCTGCTAGTCCCAGTGTGAAGACAAGACACCTGTGTAGTAAATGCATGACACTGAAATGTGATTGGGGACACGTCACATGATTTGTTGATCTGCAGTGACACCAGTGCCTGTATTCTTGAACACTTACCACATGGTTCTGTTATTGGGTGCATTAAACAACTTGGAAAGACAGTCATAGAGCTCATTTGTGGAACTTGCCCTCTTTCTGTTAGTTGTGTTTTCTTACAGCTCTACAGCAGGAGGAAATAGGCCTTCTGCTCATGCCTCTTCTGCTTTGGCTGTCAAAGTGTGCCTGTGAAATGCTGCCTAGTTTAAACAAGGTCCTGTGGGAGTGGTAGAAAGCAGAAAGACCTGAACCAAAGCAGGAAGCAGCAAAGGGAAAACCCTCAGCAGCTCCAGGACTGCATTCCCTCACAGCTGATCTTTCAGGGCTGCCTGCCAGTAGTGGATAAGTTTACTTTCATCCCATGCAGACAGCTAGACTCTCCCTCCCACACACACTCATACAGAGCACTTGCGCTTAAACACAGCCCCTTGTTTAAGACCAGAGCTTTTCTGAAGCCAGATTACAGTTGGGATCCTTGTGGAGGATCCAGGGTACTGTGTGGGCAAGGGATAACATGACTTTTCCAGCTGCAGTCAGAGCTGTGCGCTTATGCAGCTCTGAACAACCCCTACTCCACAATAAAATAATGTAAGAAATGTACACTAATCTCATGCTTTTAAAAAGTGGCAAACCAGCGTCAGCTGCTATGATGTGCCTCTTGTGCATTTTGAAATTGTGTCAATCAGTTGATATTTATTATGCTCAAATTGTATATTCAGGTTAAAATAACAGTACAGATAACAGCAACGTACAATTTCTCCAGTTTAGTCAATGCAGTCAAAATATGGTGCCCAATGCTGTCTATTCCTATTTAAGAAGAATTCAAGCAGGAATAAGTACAAAGAAGAGATACAGTCTTATTCTAATTTATTTGGAATTAAACCCCACAAAGTTCAGCTGTGTTTTTTCCTCAAGTAAATGTGTATTGCCTAAAATGGTCACACTTTGGGCCAGGCTGTGAACTGGACTGTCTGGATTGATTGGAAGCCTACAAATGAGATCTGGAACAAACTGCTGCACTGGAAAGATCCTATCCAACCATGCCACTTCCTGCATTTTCCATTCCTCTCCCCATCCCCTCAGGAGAGAAATTCCCCAGGTATTCCAATGCTAATTCAGTGGAACCAAATGTTGACCCAATCCAATGCTAGTTTAGACAGACAACTGGGGATGGAGGGTGGGGAGAAAGGAGTGGACTGCTGGAAAGGGAGGCACCCATGTAGATAGACCAAATGTGTAGACAGAACCATTACAGCCACTGGAAAATGTGTTCCTGCTTCTCTCTGACAATTGCATTTATATTTACACACACAAACACACACACACAGAGTTCCCTAGGACAGATCAAACTCACTCCATTTTGGATTTTCCCCTTCCTTGTTTGGGTCATTCTATAAGTTTATGGCTCAGTTGGTGACTATATGGAGGTCTCTGTACAATCCCATTTCAAAATAACTTCTCAGCATGAACTAGGAACACACTTTCTCATTGATGTCAGATTTCTGTGTCAGCTGCATATGCGTGGTCTGCATTCTTCTTTAGGGATTCCACATGCCTTAGGGTCCCCCACTGCAAAGATACTTCGAGCTTCTGCCACCTCCTTCTTGACTACATAAAGATCCACACTGCAAATGAATGTACCTTTTGAATATAGGATATGTACTGGAGTTATCTTAGCTCCTGGCCCTTTCATTCTTACAGGACTGTAATTCTGAAACAAACCTTGCTGGTGTCAAGAAACAGTGAATGCAGATATGCTGGGGGTGTACAATCAAAAGAACATTTACAGTTTATTCAGACATACAGGGAAAAAATTATATGCAGCATGTAGGTAGCCCTCAAAGGAACTACAAAGATGGATTCTGTACAAGATGCTTTTATAACCTATCAGTTACAAACACAATTTGAGGAAGCAGGGCTCTCATAGGCAGTTTGCTACAGGCAGTTGCAAATAAAAACAAAAGGCTTGAATGGGTTAAGGCAACCCAAAAGGAAGAAATTTCAAGACAGGCATACATTAGCATATCTAAGGCATACAAGGGAAGAAAGACTTGTAACATGGCTTCCAGATCAGATCAGGATCCCCTCCTGAGTCTAAAGCTGTTCTTACAATTTTAGGCTTTTGTCAGTCATATTATGGCAGAGCTTTTGCTCATTTTTTTGCTGGCTGTAGGATGTACTCCTCTAAATACTTGATCTTCAAGAGGTAAGCCATGAATAGTCCTTAGTTATCAAATGCACTAGAAAGGATGTGTCTGTGTGTGTGTGTGTGTTTATAGCAAAAATGAGGTCTTGAATATCTTTGCGTGTCTGTTGAGAAGTTGTTTATGGAAACACAGAAACAATGAAAATGATAAGAGGACTTGGCAGATTCTGTGAATGCCATTTACTCTTCAAGAAGACTTCATAATTATGAACTCCCCATCAACCAACCATTCTTTTCATTCAGTCAACATAAAAATGTTGCAGAGTGAGGTGCTTCTGTGTTCCATCCACTTGATTTCATACGTCTTCTCCTGGTTTTCTTCTTTAACATCCCTCCGCTTATGTCAGAATTCTTTACCCATTAAGCAAACTCAGTCCTTATTGGACAGCTTTGGGCTTTACCCCCTTTTGGACCCCCCCCCCTGCTTTCATTGATCTATATAAGGAGTTCTCTGGTCCACCCCAAGGGCATTTTAGAGCCTCTCAGTGTGATCCAAGTATTTACCTTTTTATTCTGTGTGATGGCTTTCTCTACCTACTGGTATATATGCAGGTTGCATACCTGTAACTGTAGGTCTTTGAGTGATCATCTGTGCATTCACACACATGGGTGATCATTATATAAATATATACATATGAGACAAGTAGTAGACCTGACTTCTCACCCATGCCCTGTCATACAGCGCTCATTCAACAATATATGGAGACAGGTGCATTGAGAGAATAGTTCATTAAGTTGCAGTTGTCTATACTCTGCAAATACATTTGTCCAATAATGTATGAGTCCAATATCATGCATGTATCAGTGGTTGAGTGCACTAGTGAGAAGTCACTGGGTGAAGGGATGTCAGTGCAAGAAGGAAGACAGCACAGCTCTCCCAAAGGAAGTCTTTTCCAGCTCTCATGTCTAGTTTGTAATGTTGAACACATGTTGACAGTTTAGACCATGTTGCTTCTCTGCAGAGGTCCTCAGTCGGGATGCCCAAGGGCCATAGATGTAGAGACAGCTCTCAGTGAATGAGCCCGAGGTTTGTCAGGTAAGCCTAAAGAAGATAATTCATAACCCAGCTTAATGGTATTTACAATCCAATGTGCCAAGCTCTGAGGGCTCACCAAGTCCCCACTGCAATAGTCAGCATATTTAATAAACAGACATTTTGTCTATTTGATTCCATTCAGGATTGATAGAACACTAGTGCCTGCGAACGTCAAGAGTATGTAAAGCCCTTTCAATGTCCATAGAGGGTGATGGATAAAAGGCAGGAAGAACAACTTTCTGATTTATATGGAATGACAAAGGGACCTTGGGTGGAAAGGAGATGCCTGTACAGAGGACATTTTTTTCTCTATGGAAGCTTAAATACCTGCAATGCACAAAGCTCACTCGCTCAATAGGCTGAAGTGATTGCTACAAGGAAGGAAACTTTCCGAGCCTCTTGGATTCAATTCTGTCCAGACCAAAGAGGACACCTGTATGGTAAAATCATTATGGAGTAGAAGAATAGTCTCCTTCAGAACATAGGCAGTTGTAATAGATCGATGTTCCATCAGGTTGGTACTCTCTGCAGTCCAAGGGCATACAGTTAGAATGGTTAGAATATTCTCCAGGCCATCAGTTGGAGTGTTTGCACATTGGGATGGAAAATTTTCCCTAGTGCCTGTGACAAAAGGTCAGGATCTTTTGAAGAGGTTTGTACATCTCATTGGAGAGTCTCAGGACTGATGGAAACCAGGGTTGTCTTGGCCACCAGGGAGTAATTGGAATAACTCATGTCCTTTCTATTCTCATCTTGGGTATTGTTCTTGCAATGAGTGGGAACAGCAGAAAATGTAGAATAGAGTCCCAGTCCAAGATTGTAGAAAGGCATCTGCCTCTGAAGCATGACTAATTTCATCTCTCAAACAGTATGGTCTACAGACTGCATTCGTTTGTGTGGAAAACAAGTCCACCGAAGATGTGCCCCAGGCTCTGAAAAGGTCCTTGAGAACTTGTGAGTTGAGTTCCCACTTGTGTACTTGATGAAGGGAATGACTCAGGGAATCTGCAGTGACATTGCCTGTGCTGGCCATATGGATGGCCACTAGTGTGATTTCATGACTTGTGCACCATTCCCATATCCGTAGTGCTAATCTTGCCAAGGATGGCGATTTTGTTCCACCCTGCTTTTTTACATAGAAAACTGCAGTCATATTGTCCGAGACAACTTGGACATGTCTGCCAGATAGCACTTTTTGGAATGCCAGGAGTCCCTTGTGAATTGCCAGTAGCTTGAGCAGGTTGATGTGGAGGTTTCATTCTGGAAAGGTTGATTTCTTGCATCCACCATGCAAGGTTCACATGCACTCAGATCGGTGGAGCCAGCATCTTTCTTGGTGAGTCAAGGCCTGGATGGAACACCTTGAGGAACCACAATTATAGGGGTCTCATGTGTAATCTTGCAAACTGGACCATCGAGACCATGGAAGCCCTGTGCCCCAGGAGTTTTTGCATTTTCCTTGCTGGCACCTTCTGTTTGGGTCTGATCTTGGAGGCAGCCTGTATGAATCTGTTTATATGATCCTTGGGCAGAAAGACTAAAGCTGAGAATGAGTCCAGGACTGCTCCAATGTAGCAAATGTTCTGTACAGGGAGAGAATATATTTTTTTGTTAATACACACTCCTAGCTCACTTATGGTGAGACAAGTCGTTTCAATGGATTGGATTTGTATGTCTCTAGTTTCTGCTAGAAGAAGCCAATCATCAAGCTATGGGTAAATATGGGAAATATGCATCCTTCAGATCAGTGCAGGCAAACCAATGCCCCTCTTTGAGTAGAGAAATTATCCACTGCAGAGAGACTATATGGAAATTTTTATGGG